CACCTACGGCAGCGCCGGGTTGAGCTGCCCCGGAACGCTGCTCCAGGGTTCCTGGCTCACCATCCCAGGGGACAGGGGAAGGCTGGTGGCCCCAGGTTTGGGACAGGGAGCTCACCCAGCGCAGCCGGCTGTGGCTGAGCCCCGCTCTGCGCTGGCACCAGCCCGGTAGCTCACGGAGGCCTGCCTGGGGGTCTGTGACCACAGGGCAGTAACAGGAGAAGCAGCGGGGCCAAGCACTTAAAAACCATATAGTTTAATAGGTATAAAAGTCGACATTAAACCACCAATTATACAAAAGCAGACGACGTTGGAACGGCTACACTGCAGACATCTTCACGGACACCCGAGCTCAGTGCTCACACTAAGCAGCAAGGCTGGGACAGCACAGGGCTCAGAGCGGGATGCAAACCCCCGGCACAGAGAGGGTTTTGGCCGGCTGAGCCCTGTGCTGCCGGGGAGTACTGGAGTGTTGTTGCCAGAACGAGCCGCCCCTAGCCTCGTCACACGGCTCCAGTTATGGCTGCCAAGTACCCTTGGAATGCACGGAGAGGAAACGGTGACCACAACCACACAGACAGACAGAAAGACTATAGCTGCCCCATCACGTGGGACCCCTGTGCGTGGGGAAAGCAGCGTTTCTGACAGCAGCTTCCACAGTGGGAGGGCTGTACTGGTGTCACTGCCCCTTGGCAGGGGGGGGGGGGGGGGTGGCAGAGACCAGCTGCGGGCTACCAGCACTCCCACCCAGCCCAGCGACTCGTCTCTGGGACCTCTGCTCTGCGAGGGGCAAGGGCAGTGCATGACCCGGCTCCGCCGTCCTGACTCTGGGACTCTCTCCCTGCGGGAGAGGGGATGGATGTACTGTGTGGATCATTATCTTGTCCCCAAGTGGGAATACTGGCAGAGGTCCACAGAGCACTGGTGCCCCTCAGACAGCAGCAGCACTGGGGCTGAGGTCCAGTCTAGCATGGTGCAGAGGCTTCTCTACTGCGGCACAGGGCTCCTCCGTGTTTTTCCCTTCCACGCTGTTCCGAATTCCATATCCGAAGTAAATCAGAAAACCTGCAGGACAGTTTCCACAATGAAGCGCGCAGCAGTAGGCCGCCAGCTCTAACAGCCCCCCCCGGCAGGGCCTGTGGACCCCACGCTCCCCTCTGTGGGACACCTACCCACGGCCATCCAGATGGCAAACCGCACCCAGGTACCGGCACTCAGCTGTACCATCAGCAGGATGTTGATGAAGATGCTGAGGATCGGCAGGAGCGGGAGGAAAGGAACCTGAGAGGGACGAGAAGTGCCGGGTCAGCTGTGCCTTGAGGGATCCGGCCGTGCTCGAGGATGCCCCTGGGCACAGAGGGATCCCCCCCCTGCCACAGTCCGGGCAGCACCCGGGCACTTCCGCGCTGGAGACCACACCGCAGAGCGCTGCGTCTCGGGGCTCTGGGCTTTCCCGGATGGCGACAGCCCAGCAGTGAGCCGTGGCAGACCCTGGAAAGGCCCAGACCTTGCCGGAGGGGTGCAGGGGTGCGGCTGCCAAGCTGCTGGGGGTGCACTCACTTTGAAGCTTAACCGCGCGTCGTTCTGCGGCTGCCTCCAAACGATGACAGTGGGAATGAGCAGAGCCACCAGCAGCAGCACCAGGGCCACGATCCAGCCCACGCTGGCATTCTTCAGCGCTGTCACCTTGAGGGTCAGGACCAGGCAGATGACC